TCTTTAAAGGAGTTTTCTTTACTTCTTAGGCTTATCTTTGAAGGAAAGAGTCTTTTATCTTTTAGGAAGAGAGTCTTTTCCCAAGTGTGTGCATAGGAAGTATTTTTTTTTAATTTTAGGATATATTTATGTGTGTTTATATACATTTTCTTTGCTTGGGCAGCTGTCTTATAAAAAGGGATTTTATTTGAGAACCTCTAGAACCAGTGAAGCAGGCTGAAGGAAAAGGTGACCTTTGTACAGAATTTGAGTACATTGGGGTATCCGGCAGTATACAGGAGCTAACATGCCGTGACTTTATCTGAACTTTAAAAATATGGAGTGGTTTCTACTCTCCATCATACACTGGAAGACCAGTAACTCCTATCTTCATTTTACTGTTTTTCATTTCCGGAAACTTTCTTGGGTGCTAATTCTTTTTCCTTGTGTGTTTGATTTTAGTGCTCAAGACCATGTTCCTAATGAACGATCCAAATCTGCCAATGCTCAAGCTATCAGTAGTCCTTTTTCAGGGATGATCTTTGGTATGTACAGAACTTCCAATTGATTCAATTTTTCGAGTGTAGTGATAGGAACTTAATAAGAGCTACATATATTTTGTCTTTATTTAGTCTTTGAACATTCTGCATTCTGTAATTGTCTTTTTAGATAAGTAAAAATGGAAGATTTTTTATTTTACTCAGGTTTTTCCGATTGCACCTGCTACGTCAGAGTTAAGACTTTTTTTTAAACAATCTAGCAGGTGAAGACAGAGAAGCTATTCAGAGGAGGAAAGAGAAGTATAGACAAGAACTATTGGAACAAATGGCTGAGCAAAAGAAGAACAAGAGACGGTAATGAAAGGCTTGCATTTCAAAAGAGTGTTTGAATTTAAATGACCTCTTGCAGAATGCCCTTGTGGCGGTAACAATCACGTAGTAGAAATGAGGACTTGATTTATAGATCACTTTCAACTTCCACTTTGTAAATCCGCCAGGATTATAAGCAGATACTATGTCAGTGCTTACTCTGTGTCTTAGTTAAAAAATAAGACTATGCATGTATTTGATAACAGGCTTTAGCATTGTTTCATTAACTCCTCAGTTTTGGGTTTTGGGTGGATGTTAATGTTGTCTACACACTCACTGTATTATCATAACAAATATAAGAGTGTTTTATCTTTTTACAATCTAATATGGTAAGCAAGTTATAAATTTAAAATAATCATATAGCAAGTTCACAGGTATTAATATTGTATACAAGTCTCAGTAAAAATTTTCTTTTTCAGTATAATGTTTCCAGAGGAAATATTTGTGAAATAGTAATTCTAGTTTCAAATTAGGAATAGAAATCTTAGTTCTGCCTTTTCCTCTTTATCTTAGATCAAGACATTGTCTGCTGTTGAATGTTATCCATCTTTCACATAATTTCTTTAAAACTATGTGCTGTTTATATCTTAACTTTTTGCCAACTGAAAGAATACGTACATGCATCTGGAAAAAAAGGAGTTTTGGGGGATTGTTGTTTGTTGTTTTTCACAAGTAAGGATTTCAGTCTCTGTACTTGGTGCTGTGGGATTCTCCACGGAATCCCAGACACTGGTTTAAAAATTCATATCCTAAGTCGTAGGTGAATTCCGGTTTACTTTGCACTAAGTTGGAAGATGATTTGTTACTTAGTTAAGCCAATTCAAGAATGTTACATGTAGCTGAAGACGTTGTTGCATAGATTTTAAGTGTAAGTTTATTTCAATCATGGTTCTTTGGGTAGTGTTTCCTATACTTAAAAATTTTTTTTAATATACAAAACTTTAATTTTATTTAGGGAAAAAGATTTGGAACTCAGTGTTGCAGCTTCTGGTGCACAAGACCCTGAGAAATCGGTGAGGGCTCATGGAATCTTGTAATGTTTATTCATTTTTTCAAATAACCCCCAAGTGTGGTGGTGAGTGGGGATAGAAGATTTAGGAGGAACTAGTTAAGAGCAGGTCAATTCAAACAGCAATAAAATAAATGACATTGAGTTCTCATAAAAAGTAAATGCTAGCTCTTACCCTTGCTTTGTTTCTCTAAGATTTTTCATTTGTGAATTAAGTTTTAGATTGCTTTAAATTAGTCCTTTACTCTTTATTCAAGTGTATTCTTCCATGGAAAAGTTATCTCTGCTTAATATATGACAGAAGTTAATGTTTTTCTTGAGTATATCTTTATCACTTTTCTTTTATCCGAGTTTTTCCCAAGGAAACTGAAAACTTTAATTCTAATCGTTGAGCACGTCACTAATTTTTATTTAATGTAAAATTTGAAAGATAATAACCTTATTTTTACTTTGATTTTTGCAAAATCTCATCATTAAGTGGATTGAATTACTCACAGCATTGCAGTTAAGTAAGGAGGAGGTAATAATTTAATTACTCTTATCAAAATGTAGTTTTCTTGTAGTTAGCTATGTGGTATGTGTATTTATTTGTTAAGACAAGTTTTTGCTTAAATATTTTGAAAGACGGTTAATAAGCTTTAATTAATTTCATTGAAGAGTTCATTTTCAAGACGGATATAACTACTTAAAATTGCTTGGCTGCTGGCAACTCTTGATTTTATTTCACAAGTACTAAGTGTATACCTGGGAGCCCTGACAGCAAAGTGGGTTAAGTATTGGGCTGCTGTGCACCAGTTCAGCAGTGTGAAACCAGCAGCTGCCCTAAGGTAGAAAGATGCAGCCTTCTATTCCCACAAAGAATTACAGTCTCAGAAACCCACAGGGGCAGTGCTACTCTTGTCTTAGGGTGGCTAAGAGTTGGAACCAACTCAATGGCAGTGAGTCTCAGTTTAAGTATGAATCTTACAGGCAGGCTATCTGTTTTTAAAAAGTCTACTGCTGACCAGCATCACTCCTAAATCTGTTGATTGCTCAAAAAACAAAACGTAACAACTATGAACCTGAAAAATTATACTTGGGAAGAGATAAGCATGGTAGGAAACAATGACAATTTCTCAAGCTGAGTATCTTTTGCTTATTAGTAAATAATTTTGAAATAGATTTGGCAGTTAAATACTTTCAAAACCTTGAACTTTTCCATGTAATATGATAGCATGTTGTATTAGTCTAGGTACTTTGGAGAAACAAATCCACAGCAACTCACATATAAGAGAGAGTTTTATGCAAAGAAAATGTGCATCACGAAAACATCCCAACCCAATGCTGCCCAAGCCCACAAGTCCAACATTAACCCATACCCAACACCAGTCCACAAAGTCCTCCACCTCACAAAACAGAGGCAATGATGCCGACTGCAGGAGGAAAGCTGAGTCAGTGAACGAACAAGCATCTCAGCACTGGCAGGGGTCTCCACATGGCTGCTCCAGCACGCAGGGCTGCATCGGGATAGATCCATGCGGCTTCTCCTTGGGGATGTCTTGTAGGAAATCCATCTTGCAAGCTGAAGCAGGGAACTGCTAAGGCAGCTGCACCCGATGCAACCATCACAAAACAAGAGACCCGAGAACTGGAAAGGCGAGGCTTCACCACCCATTTATCCCTCCGCCTTTCAACCAGCCCCACATGTGATTATCGGCCAGGCTGGCACAATTAACTAACTCACATGTTAAATCTTGGTAGTTATAGATATGCCAGTGTTTGACAGACTTATTTTTATTTGTCTGTGAATGAAGCCCTGTTAAGTGTCAAATTACTCTGTCAGACTCACCACCCTCAAGTTGACCCATCATAGTAAGACGGGCTTGAAGTGCCCCTGTGAGTTTCTGAGACAATTTACTCTATAAAAGAATAAATACATGAACATTAGCAATTTAGTAGTTAGATCACATCTTTTGGGTATATTTTGATATGCACATCTTAGGAGATATAAAAGATGTACCAGAGCAGGAATTAGCAAACTGTGACCTGCAACCAAATCTAGTTCCTGTTTTGTTTTGTTTTTTAAATAAAGTTTTACTGTAGCCTCACTTCATGGTTTACCTGTTGTCTGTGGCTGCGTTCCCACTGCAGCAGAGTTGAATCGTTGTGAAGAGACCTCATGGCCTGCAAAGCCTCATCTGTTTCCTCTGAAACCACAGTGGCAATTGGTAGAGAAGTAGCGTGATAGTATAATAAAAAGAGTAGTCTGAGAATACCTGGCTGTAGGTCTTACTTGAGTATTGAGGCAATTTTAGGGGTGTGATGTACTTTTCAGGGATCCTCAGTTACCTTAGGTATAAAGTAAGAATTAGGTCATCAAAATCTTTTCTAGCTGTAAAACTGTGTATTGTAACTTCTGTGACTTGCAGTCTGTGATAGATGCTCTTTAGAGGATGTGCTCATCTTCAGATTTCTGAGATTATGTAACAAGCAGATTTCCCTCCTCTGCTTTAGCCGGATAGACTAAAGGAGCTCAGTGTGACACCAAGACCCTTTGAGGAGACAGCCCCACCGGACAGACCCCGAGTAGCTTTCCAGACGCCGCTCCCTCCTCTATCTGCCTCATCTGTCCCACCCATTCTGTCTGATCACGCAGTCACAGCTCAAAGCGAAGATTTGCATAGTGGACTGAGCAGCACCCTTGGTGATATGGTGCCTCCCAGGTGCTTGTTTATAATGCTTTGGGAACTAGGTAAAGGTATTGTTACTGTTGTATGTTTTGAAGAATATGCTGAACCAGGTAACATGGTCCTTCTGAGATTTTGTACAATGAACAGCTTTTGTCAAATTTCTCTTCTTATTTTCATTGTTGGTCTTTTCTCTGCTAATATGAAACTAATGGAAATCCTTATGCAACATAGACTGTGTAAAGATGAGTTTGTGTTTTCAGAGTGAATAACTAAATACATTTTAGTGCTTAGTATTGGGTTGTACTTTAGAATATCTATTTTTACTTTCTTTTAACATATATAAAAGCTATCCATTCTCTTCAATTTTATAGTTTCCACTTGGCAAACATTGAATTCTTTCTTCAATTTATACAGAAAAGTTTCGAATGTGATTTTATTTTAACTTCTGTTTCCTTTGACACTCTCTGATTACTTAGGGGTTCTACAACTTAAATGTTCAAACTAAAAAATGTTGAGATTACAAATTTGGAAGAGATTAGATTCTATATGTGAAAGGCATATTAATGATGCTATGACTAGAAGTACATACAGAAAATCCTGTTGTTAACGTTGACATTTTCTTTGCTTTCCTCTTTTAGTCCGACTTGGTCTTATCTTCTATTTACGACTAACACATTGTTGGACTATACTTATTGTGTTTACCAGATCTTTTGTTTGTTTTATTGAATGGCTTCCCAAGTAAAAATACTAGGAAGGATTGTGATTCCTGAGTATGGTATGGTAGCTTTAGCATTGGATATGGAATGAAACACTCACTTCACTCTTTGGGTTTGGGGCAAGCCTTTGTGGAACTTGAGTTTTCTCATTTGTGAAAACGAAACAGTAGTACTTTTCTCTGACTACAATTTCAGGGTTGTTATCAGGGTTAACTATTACATAGAAAAAACTTTGTATAAAAATTAAGTTAGGTGACTTTTGTAGCACTCATTCTACTGCTTTGTTGATGTACCTTTGGATAGATAAGGCTAGAAACGTCAAGCAACTAGTTAATGTGAAATGTATTCACTTTTGAAGTGAGCTTCAATGCCCGCCTGATTCTTTGGAATTATTTTGAAATGTGTGCCAAGAGAGAATCTGTGAAGATGCATTAAAAGTGAAAATATTTTAGAATGCCCCCTTTCACTTTCTGCTCAGTTAAAGGAATTTGCCTTTTGCCACTTTTACTATGGGAAAAGACTGCATTAGTGGGAATGCTTTTCTAAGCATTTCTGAAGTGCTAAAGTAGTGGGTTTCTGAAGTTTTCAAGTTATCAGTACTAAAAACTATGCTGAGACATAATTTGGAAGAGACATCCTTTGAAAGTAATATACCTTCTTTGCCCAGTCGCACTAACCGTGCTGTGTTGCAGCTCTTCCCTTCGCTGTGGACCACCCTGCCTCTCTAGCTGCAACTAGCTCCTTCTAGTAACTTCAGTTGGGAATGTTTTTTCCAGAGAGTCCTCCCTGTGTTTTCTTTCCTGTGCAACTTATTGTCCCTGTTCTGTATTCCTGTAACAGCCTGCATCTAATTCTGTTATTTCATTTATTATGCTTTGCTGTAAGGGTTGTTTATTTCTGTATTATATTTGAGGAACAGGGACTATGTCTGTTTCTATTTGATAATGGTACACAATGACTAGTGTTTATTAAAGGTTTTATCTCACATGTTATATCTGAAGTTCAGAAATGTCATATTATATGAGGACGTTTCAGAAAGTTTATGAGAAATTGGAATTAAAATATATTGGAGTTTTTTCATGAACTTTTTTATGGTATCCTTTTATTTGCTTTTTCAATCATAATTTTTGATGAAAGATAGTAGTAAAAGGGTATTATTTTCCTGAAATTTCTATTGAATTTTCAGTAATATTTTTGCAAAATAATATCTTGATTTTTTTTTAAAGATTCCCAATGAAATATGAAAGCATTTCCCAATTTTCTTTTGATACAGGGTTCCACCTCTGCCTCCTCCTCCCCTGCTGCCACCTCTGGCTACTAACTTTCGCACTCCCTATGATGATGCGTACTATTTCTATGGGGCCAGGAATCCTCTGGATCCCAGTCTTGCTTATTGTAAGTTACCTACTTAACAAGTATTATATTTCTCCCTGGTGTTTCAATCTGGGGAATTTCTTTTTGTGCAAGCAAAAATATGGACATGAGAAAAGTAAAAATTTTTATAATTCAAGTATTACATATTTATTGATTTAATAAACACCTTATTTTAAAACCTAGGTGTATTTCATAGCTAATTCCTGTTCATTTAGATTTTACAAAGTAGCTTTCTCCTGATATGATTGAACTATTGAATTGTATGGTATGTAGATTATGTGCCAATAAAACTGTAAAAAAAAAAGTAGCTCTCCTTTTCCTTATGTTGTTTTTGGTTCACTCCTACCTGAGAGGACACACTGATGCTTTTCTGTGGGTAGCGTCGTCATTATGTTCCTACCACAGACATAAATACGTGGCTGTCACATGGGTACTCTAGAATGGAAGTTTTGTTTTTTCTTTAAAGATGGTTCCAAGTTGATGGGAGTACAGCCTGCAGCTTATGCCAGTGCTCCGGTAGCCCACCAGCCAGCCCAGCCTATTGTGTAAGTCGTTCTTTGAAGTCCTCATTTCCTTAAAGAGTTATTTGTCTTCATAGAACTTGTATTCTTCAACTCGTTCTGTTTTTCCTTCAGAACAGTTGTCATTTGTTTTAATTTCTAATGGTAACAACTGCATCTGAATCACAATCATTCTAATAACGTATGTTCAAGCCATTATTTTTAAGTCAGTATCTTATAGAATATGCATTTCTCAAATTAAGAATAATTTCACTCTCATTATAGAAGTTATGACCTAAACTCATTAACCCAGAGGGAACCAAATTTATATTTGTGTTTAAGAAGAGTTTCTGTGTATATAACCTTGTATACACACTCAACAAAAATATATACACCACACACACCAAAGTAGTAGTATATTAACAGATTATTCTTTAACCTGCTTAAAAATTAACCTATTAGAAATATTTTTTCAGTGTCAATAAATATAGTTGCACAGTACCCATTTTTTTAAGATGAAATATTTGTTTTGAGGTTATTGTGATGCACATGTAGTGGTAAGAAAAAATACAAAGAGATTCTGTGTAACTGTTAACAAATTTCCCCTAATGGTAGCATCTTGTAAAAGTATAGCACTGTATCACAACCAGGATACTGGCATTGATATGTTCAAGACACAAGAAAAACATTTCCATTGCCACAAGGATTCCTTTTATAACTACACTTAATTCCCATCAGCCTCAACTCCCTTAACGATTGGCAACCTCTAATCTATTCTCTATCCCTATAATGCTGTCTTTTTAAGAATCTGTATACATTGCATCATACAGTATGTATAACCTTTTGGGACTGGCTTTTAAAAAATCATTTTATTAGGGGCTCATATAGCTCTTATCACAATCTATACATACATCAGTTGTGTAAAGCACACTTGTACATTCATTGCCCTCTTCACTCTCAAAACATCTGCTCTCCACCTAAGCCCCTGTCATCAGCTCCCTATTTTTCCCCTCCCTCTCCGCACCCCCCTCCCCCTTGAACCCCCGATAATCCACAAATTATTACTTTGTCATATCTTGCCCTGTCAGGCGTGTCCCATCATCCACTTCTCTGCTGTCCATCCCCCAGGAGGAGGTCACATGTAGATCCTTGTAATCGGCTCCCCCTTTCTGACTCACCCTCCCTCCACACTCCCAGTATCTCCACTCACACCACTGGTCCTGAAGGGATCATCTGCCCTGGATTCCTTATGTTTCCAGTTCCCATCTGTACCAGTGTACACCCTCTGGTCTAGTCAGATTTGTAAGGTAGAAATGGGATCATGATAGTGGGGGAGGAGGAAGCATTTAAGAACTAGAGGAAAGTTGTATGTTTAATCATTGCTATATCGCACCCTGACTGGCTCATCTCCTCCCCAAGACCCTTCTGTAAGGGGATGTCCAGTGGCCTACAAATGGGCTTTGGGTCTCCACTCAGCACTCCCCCTCATTCACAATGATATGATTTTTTGTTCT